ACAAGGCGAGATACATCCATTCAGAATGCTGGAAGTTGGGAGGAAAATCAGTGAGACTTATCGGCATTCGTAAGGATGAATCTTAAAAGAAAAAGCAAAAGGAAAGGGTCAGAAATCAAATGGTAGCTTTAATTACATCTAAGAGACCAGAGATAATCAGCGTTGTGATTGCAGAAGACATTCATAGGGTGGATGAGAGATTTGAAGTGTTTTTGTCTAAAGATATGATAACCCCTTTTTCTGCAGTGAAGCATCCAAGCCCATAACTATAAAAAGAGACACAGGAGCTACTCAAACACATGCTGGAGAAGGATTGAGTTCATTGAAAGCCAAAGTGTTGGTAAATGGAATAAGTAGACAATATATCCCAGTTCATGCCTTCCATGTCAGGTGGTTGGAAAGCCCCAATGTATGATTAAACCAAGACCTTTGATACCCATTCTAGTTTCTGAAGAATCATTCAGTGGAGTGTTAGTAAATCGTGTAGGAGCATTACTGAAAATGGAAACAGGTCATCCGTATACCCTTACAATTTGACATTCTGATTTCCAGTTGCCATTGCTAGGGCAGTGGCGGAAAAGTTTTTTTTTACTTTTTACAGACTACCAACTAAGATACAATCTAATCAGGGTTCTAACTTTATGTCTAAAGCTTTCCAGGAGATCATTAGCTGTTTGGGTATAAACAAATTAAGTCAACTGCCTGTCATCCACAAACACAAGAGCTTTGGTGAGATACCATCAGCCTCTTAAGATCATGATTAAGACAAAGTGTCATGAATATCCAGAGGTCTGGGATGAGGATTAGATTTCTTACTATTTGCTATCAGAGATTCCCCAACTGAATCTATCGGATTTAGTCCATTTGAGTTGACTTATGGTCATGAGAATACAGGTTCATCAGAATTGATTTGGGAGAAATTCTTGAATCATAAAGAAGGATTCCCCATGTTGGATTATGGTTGTATTATTTTTAGACTCTCAGGAGCATTTAAGATAGCACAAGAGCATTTGGAATTTTCAGAAGCAAAAATGGAATGTTGGACAGATAAACAATTAATATCTAGAACGTTTTAAGTGGAAGATACTGTTGCTTTTGCAAGGTGAATCCCTGAAAGCAAAATTGAGTGGTCCATACAAGAAGTTAAGAGAGTTAGTAAAGTGACTTACCTGATAAACACTCCTGCTTGTAGGAAGAAGAATCAGTTATGTTTGTACTGTTTATAGAAAGACTGTAAGGAGCATATAATGTGGCCAACGTAACAATGTTGAAAAGGTATCATAAGGAAGAGGATAAGAAGAAGTATTGGAAGATGACTGGGAAAATAAGAATGAGGCAAAAGCAGTGGCAGACGGTTCTCAAATCAAATCTCCTTAAGTTCCACTAGCTGACACTGAACTATTGGGACAGTTAGGTACTAAGGTCTCTTATTTAGAGAAATGACAATGGGAAAATGCTGAGGAAGTATGAGATAATATGTAGATACACCTGGATGTACTAAAGTAGCTAGGCATGATGTGGACAGAGGAGAATCAGGACTGATAAAACAGCATCCTTCTCGGTTGATGGCATAGAAACAAGCTCAGGTGGAAACAGATATTTAGTACATGCTGAAAAGGCAATTGATTTAACTTAGTCAAACCGGCTGGAGTTCACCAGTTGTGTTTGTTCCTAAACTGGATGGATCAACTAGACTCTGTGTAGATTATAGAAAGGTGAATGTGGTCACAAAATCAGACTTGTATTCAATTCCACTGGATTAAAAGATTTAAAAAACATATCAAAAGGTTGGTGTGATTAAACCACCCAGTGGAATATCAAATCGTCAGTAAAAAAAAATTTAAAGAGTAAAGGACTACCAAAACACTAGTGCATTTTTACGTCTGGGTTCACTGATGGTCCTTAAAATAGTATATCTGCAAAGACAAAGAAATTGGACATGATGGGATGAATATAATTTCTTTGTACAACAGAGAAAGCATATCCAGTCAGTTAAATCTGTTTTCAACAGAAAATTCTATCACGCCAGCTCTGTAGGTGGACATTGCAATTCAAAATAAAGGATCTTACAGTTACAAAATCCGGTATAGCCAGGATTTGAATTTGAAATAAGTTCTGTTACTTGGAAAGCAGTAACACTTTGTGTTGTGTGTATTTCTCATGAAGAGAACATAAGAGTCACTATATGGTTCAGTAAACTGAGAGTAGCCTGGTATATTTGTTCTGTGTTCCCTGGGAATTTCAGTTCCTCCAACAGGATTCTTATACTCTGATAGTAATTTGAAAAGATGAATGTTGTTGATGTCATTTTTTTAATGGTATCCAGTATTATTTTGGTTGTTCTATGGACTCATGATTTCAAAGCCCACCACAGAATGAATGAAACTTAAATTTAATAAATAAAATCTGGAATTGAACGCTAGCCCCAGTAATGGTAACTGTGAGCATATAACTATACAAATTAGAATTAGAATTGGATATAAATTAGGGCTGCTTGAGCTTGCTGTGCAATTCAATAAGTTCTGTTGATTTCACATTCCTACCTGCACCTTCTTGCTTATTAAGAGTCTATCTAGCTCTGCCTTAAAAATATTCCAAGATTCTGATTCTGAATTTAAAGAACTGAATTCCAAAGATTCTTGACCCTCTTTGAGAAAAGATGTCTCCTCATCTTTGTCTTAAATGTGCAATCCCTTAATTTTAAACAGTAATCCTAGTTCTGGATTTTCCCACAAAGTAATTATCCTTTCTACAAGTACCCTGTCAAGTGACCTCAGGACCTTGTGTGTCATTCAAGTTGTCTCTTATTCATCTAAACTCCAGCAGATACTAGTCTGACCACTACAACTTTTCCTCATGTGACAACCTGTCCATTCCAATTCTTAGTCTAGTAAACCTTCTCTGAACTTCCAACATATTTGCCTTCTTCATTAAAAAAGGAGACTAATACTACACATAGTCCTGCAGATGTGTTATCTTCAATACCTTGTATAACTGAAGCATAAACTCCCTACTTTTGTGGTCAATTCCTCTTGTGATAAAGCTAATTCTATTGGCTTTCCTAATTACTTTCTATCCATTTTGCAATTCATGCAGTAAAACATCATTATCTCGGAGCTCTGCAATCTCTCAGCATTTGAATACCATGCTTCTTTTTTATTCTTCCTCTCAAAATTAATAATTTCACATTTATCTGCATTATAGTCAGTTTCCTAGAGATTTAATCTATTATCATCATCTTCTTCCCTTGACATATATCTTAGAACACATTAAAGCTGTTCCATTCATTCCTAAGTTTGTCTATTGTTCATAACAAGTTCAGAAAAAAACAGAACCAGGGTAGGGTTAGGAGCAGGAATGCAATTCTTTTCAGTTAAATGTTTGAAGAATTATCACCAGATAATTACAAGTTAATTTTCTCCAAGAATGATGGCTTTGCTTGAAATCTTGCCTGAAAAATAGTTGCCCAAAAATTATTCTGCCAACATATTCATTATGTTTTTTAAGTTATAAAGAGTCTTGTGGAGTTGCAGCTGTTTCCATCATTGTGTTTATCATTGACCCCACATTACCTGTAATCTGAGGTCAAGTTGGAAACTGAAAGCAAATTTCAACAGTAATGATCCCATTTCATCACCCTTAAACCATGATTTTAAATTTAGCCCCTCATACCTGCCATTGAAATAACTGTGGAGTCATGAAAATTTAACTTCATTTTTTTTCTAGTGATGGATTGGAAATCCCTTTCTTAACCCTTCATAATTATAACCTTTGCATAATGTTCTTTTCTGCAATAAGTTGTGAACTGTAACTTACTAATAATTATTTTAGTTTTATCTTTAAAGTTTCAATGTACCTTTTAAATGGTATCTGTTTTTTGTGTTAAAACACAGCTCTATGTTTCAATTTATCAGAAGCACCAAAAAGTCTTCACCAAATGCTTGTTGGTGTTGGCAGCTAAAATCCTGCTGTAAGAAATTTGTATTCCTAACATGGTTGATTAGCTGCTCAAAGGTCCCTGTCCAAATCTGTAAAATGTACCTTTTCAGCCAACTTCGGGTGGTTTGAGTTTTGCAAAACCAAATATGTTCTCAGCAATTTTTCTTTCTGGTTTTATTTTTGTTCCTTTTCTGGAGGCATATTTTCACACTGCCTGCTCCTTTCAGGACATTTGTCATTATGGTTGTTTTTCCAGTGGAGAAAAATCTGAAAAGTCAGCTTAGTTTCTCAAACTTTAGTATATTTAATGGTTTCAGTTCATGCATGATAGTTTGGTTCTATTCATTCTGCAATGTATCACAGATTACACTGATTATGTAAAAGTTAATTGCAGAATAAACCAGACTGTAGGGCAATATCTTCCTAAAAGTATTTCACATATGTTGAAATCTAGCTGAAAGAGTATTTTCCACCATAGTAGCTCTTGATTGATTGTGTTGAATCCATTCAACTCATGACAAAAGTAGATACGTTTTTGGAAATGGTGGAGAGGAACGTCAACTGGTCCTTGACATAGTGGGGTCCCATTGATTGGAAAGATCAGAACAGCTTGATACTTGCAATTTATAAAGAAGATTGTTCAGAAAATAATTCATGAAGTATACAAAATAAGAAATATAAACTCAAGATAGCTGAAACAGAGAAAAATTTGATTGTAAGACAATTGTTTCAGAACGTGTACTTTCTTATGTATTCAGTGATAAATTATTGAAATAGTCTGCTGGGAAAGCCAGAATGCAAACTAGCTAAGACTGGGGGACTTGGATGTTGACGGAATGAGTTTTCAGGGACAAAGTGGCTTTGTCTCATCCTAAACATAATGCTCACTGTCAGATTCTTAATTAACTATGAAAAGGATCACAGAATCTGAACTTTCTCTGATGGTTACTTATCAGCTTTTCTGAGTATGCACATTCCACAACCAAGCAACCTAAACCAACTAAAGGAAAGCCATGTTATTTTTTTTTGGGTGCATGTGACATCATGGCTTTGTATTTCAGGTATGCTATCCTATGTGGCAAACAGGCTGACAATGAGACCATCCAGAATCGTATCAAAGCTGGATATACTTTCAAGGTAAGCCAAGTTCAGAGAGCTGAATCTTCAATATGGAGACGTTAGTCTTGCCAAGGCATACTCTGAAAAACTCATTTCTGCCTGCTACAGAGTGCTGCAGTTACGTGCAGGCAGTAAACAAAATTCACATGTTGCTGCTGTGCTTGGTGCCATCCAAGGCCATTCAAGCAGCAATCTAGGTAAGGATTCCTTAACTGCATGCCAGAAACCTGACTTTAAATAATTGCAGAGATGTGGTCAATCAATAAATGCCACACATTTCTATGCCAAGAACAGTGCCTTAGAAGTTTCTAGGGCCTAAGCCAAACCACCCGATTTATGCCAGGAGCTATTGCAGCCGTACTTGAGCATTGTAACTTTTTCCAGAAATATTGAATATCGGTAATGAATCCTAACATACAATTTCTACTTTTGGACAGACTCATACTCTTGTGGTGCTGTCAGTTGTTTACTGGAGCTCAATTGTAGAATTACCATTAGTTAATCAACCATTAGTTCATCTAGAAATATCCAATATACCTCCATATCTGTGCTCTTGAAGGCTGTTCAAAACCAGTTTCAAGGAGCACTCACTTGTAGACAGCTGCCTCACACAGTACTCTGTCATTTTGTTGTTTTATGGACATAAAGATGCAATCTAGTCACACCACCTATATTGTGCATCCAAAGACACATTGTACAGCATCCCTTGTTCAGTACTTTACAATCATTCAATCATTTTAATTCAAATGGTATCACCAGAAATAGTAGCATTTATTGCCTATCTCTAATTGGCTTGAGATGATAGTGAACCACATTCTTGAACCACTGCAGTCAGTGTGGTGAAGGTGCTCTAACAGTACCTCTGTTAGGGAAAAACATACAATGTGGCAAAGATTATGATAAGCCAGTGGATTGGGAAAGTTTCAAAAAGCCAACAAAAGACACCCAAAACAATAATAAAGAGGAGCAAGGTAAACTATCTAGGCAGACAACAAGATCTTCTTTAAATATATATAAAGGAAGAGGGATGCTAAATTGAATACAGGACCTTTTGAGAATGTCAACAAGGAAATAATAATGGGAACTAGGAAATGGCAGAGGAGTTGAATAAATACTTTGTATAGGTCTTCACAGTAGAAAACACTAATAGCATTCCAAAATTACTTAGTAAGCAAGGAGCAAAAGGGGAAGAGTAAATAAATACAATAACAAGTAGGGCTAAAGGTGGATAAGACCCTAGGTCCTTAGATTCTGGAAAATTTCCTTAAAAACCTAAGATTCTGGGAATGTCCCAGAAGTTTGGAAAACTGCTAATGTAAAATCTTTATTTAAAACTGGAAGAAGACAATAAAACAGATAACCATGGGCCAGTTAGTTTAATATCTGTTATTGAGAAAATGTTAAAGTCTATTATGAAGGATATAATAGTTGAGTATTTAGAAATACCTAATGAGGTTTGTGCCACTAGATGTCCTGTATGAGCTAGGTAAAAAGAAAATGATGCCATACCATTTCACTTAAATCCACAGGTCCCTCATATTTACATCACCAACATCTGCTTATCTGGAGCCTTCCTGAAAAGTTTGTAAGAATATTCAAGCTGAGATAGATTTTTAATCAGTAGGGAAATCAAGTGTTATGGGGATAACAAAGTGGAGTTGAGGATAATCAAATCAGCCATGGTCTCATTGAATGGTGAAGCAGGCTTAATGGGCTGAATGACCTCTTCTGCTCCTATGTCTTACAGTCTTAACCCTTTTCCCTTCAGTTACTGATCCAATTTTATCTGAAGATTGTGATTGGAACTGTGTTCTCTGCAAATTCAAAAAGTGCATTCCAGATGGTAGCCACTCACTGCGTACAGGAGTTTTTCCTAATTTCATCTTTGGCTCTTCTGCTCGTCGCTTTAAATGTTCCTGACACTTCCTCTCAATAGACTCTTGTTAAAGATTCTTATGCCTAGAAATTGTGTTGTGAATGTTACCTACAAGATTAATATCTAAGATAAACCTGCTACATGTTTAAATGGAGTCCGCAATATGAAGGCTTCACAGCTGCAAACTGAAGCAAGTCAGCGACCTGTCATACTAGGTTTGTAAGCATTGTAGTTGCTACTCGGTTGACTTCAAACTTTACCTAAAACCAAAATGATCTAAAATAATCACATTTAACATATCAAATATAGCTCAACTTTTCAGGAAGGCTCCAGATAAGCAGATGTTGGTGATGTAAATATGAGGGACCTGTGGATTTAAGTGAAATGGTATGGCATCATTTTCTTTTTACCTAGCTCATACAGGACATCTAGTGGCACAAACCTCAAACTACAATATTTGGCACTGATCAGTGGTGTGGCATTCCCAGCAACAGATCCAAATGTATATACCACTTTGACTGTCTTACTATTTCTCTTCAATTACAATTAAATTTGTAGTGCCAGCGATGTGCACAAGAGACATGTAATTCCGTGTCAGGGGAAGTTGAACAATGAAACCCACAGTCAGCTGACAATGCAGCAGTTCCAGGCAAGCTATAAAAGAACTTCCTAGTCAAACAGGGAAGCTCTATAACTTTGTAACTTCATTGGCATTAACATAACACTTACTGAGAGCACAAAGCTAGATGGATTTTTTGTTTCCTCCCAATTTAAATTGCACTTGCAAATTTGCACCATATAAAGCATACTATCCTACTGAGTTATCGAATAGAGTCATGGATTCCCTACAATGTGGAAACAGGCCATTCAGCCCATCTAGTCCACACTGATCCTCCAAAGACCATGTCATCAAGACCCACACTCCTCTCCCTATCCCTGTAACCCAATATTTCCTACGGCTAATCCACCTAGCCTGCACATCCCTTTGGACGTTATGGGAAAGTTAGCATGGCTGATCCACCTAACCTGCACATCTTTCGACTGTAGGAGCATCCAGAGAAAACCCATGCAGACATAGGGAGAATGTGCAAACTCCACACAGTCACCCATGGGTGGAATTCAGTCTTGGTCCCTGCCTTGTGAGGCAGAATTGCTAACCACTGAGTCACCATGCCGCCCTACAGAGAAGGAGAAATATCAACAAAAGTGAATAGGGCTCAAGACAAGAGATATTAACTGACAAATGAATTGGCAGTGCAAAACCAGAGGAAGTGGTGATGCAACAGGTTAAAAAAAGAGATAATGTGTCTCGAGGAGATTTGAATGC